CTCGGGCTGGTGAAATATTTGGCCATGTGGCTCACAGTTTGGTTTTCCTCTTCAAAGGCTTTCCACTGCTGGAGCTGTTGAGCACAAGAGGCCGTTATAGGCACAGTAGGCACAGGCTGCGCTTGCACGGAGGGAGGCAGATGCAGCTAGAGACGGAGAGAGACAAAGGAGAGACACAAAGACCGGGTGTGACAGATGAGCACGGAGAGACAGAGAGAGACCACTGAACCACACAGTGAAGAGTCACTTGCAGCCTCCTGCAAATCTGAACTAAAGCCCTACCCTGTCCTTGCTTTTAGCTTTTAATACTGAGACAGTTAGTTCCTGCCTATGCATGCTGCAAAAGCCCCCCTCCTCCTTCCCCACAACTCAGTCATACACAAAGAGAGCAGCACACACACTTTCTGATCCCTGAATTGTTGATGACAAGTTGAAAACTAGCAATGCTTTATATCTGCTTTCTTGTTTGGTATCTGCGTGAAAGCCTTGTGCAGCCTAGCTCCAGCTGCTCATTGATTTCAAATGAGCAATAGAAGAGCAAGCCCATTAGGAAAAACAAGTTGACGCATTAAAAGATCCAAGTTAAATAAAATGTTCAAGGCCCCAAGGCTACAGCAGAAAAAAGGGGCAGGCAGAACGCATGGCCGACCTGTGCAGTGCAATTTATCAGCTCCTCTGTCCTCGCTCTGACAGGTCTCACGGTCTGCAGAGCACTGCAGGTGCTTGGTTTGGTGCTTGGCACAGGAGGTTTGGTGCCTCTGATCACAGGAGAATCGCTGGAGTGACTCAGGAACAGTAACATTTACTAACAGGAGCATTTAGCAATTTGGGCATGGGGGAGGAAGATCCATCGATGGCTGCAGGAAGAGAAACTCAGCCTTTAGAGGCCTGGGGGATGCGCTTGGGGAAGCAGGTCTCCTGGGGGTGTTGGGGACAAGCTGTGCAGGTTAAGCTGAACATTTGGGGAAAGAAGCAGAAAAATCATTGAGGTTGGTAGGAGATCAGCCTCTGGAGATCGTCTAGCCCAATGCCCCTGCTCAAGCAGGGTCAGCTACAGCAGGTTCCCCAGGACCATGTCCAGTTGCTTTTTAAATATCCCCAAGGATAGAGACATCACAACTCCTCTGGGCAACCTGTTCCAGCGTTTGCCCACCCTCATGGCAAAAAAGTATTTTCTGATGTTTAAATGGAGTTTCCTATATTTCAAGTTGTCCTGTCACTGGATACCACTGAGAAGAGTCTGCTCCATCAGCTATGTATATACATTGATAAGATCCCCCCTGAGCCTTCTCTTGCACTGAACTGCTCTTTCTTGTGCTTCACTTCTTCCTCCCTTCCTCACCTCATTTCCTTGAGCTCGAATGTCCCTCCAAATATAAAACTGAGTAAACAACTGTTTCCTCTCATTGTAACAATGAGAGTATTTTTTCCCACTAACATTACGGTCAAACATGCCAGACTCCTCCTGGAGGACATGGGAAGCAGAAGAGCAGAGCGTTGCCACAAAAAGCTTCCTTAAAACATCTCTGCATCCTCCCCCTCGCTCACTGCAAAGCTGCATTTCCCTCCCTGAGAGGGCCAAGAAGGACAGCCTCCTCTTGGGACAACAATATCTGCTGTCAGCAGCCCGCAGCGTCCCTGGGCTTGGCGAGGCAGTCTGAATTGCTGGACCTGGCTCCATCGCTGCTGTGGGCAAAAACCCTTGGCAGCTCACAGGAAGCGTGTACACAGAGTACAGGGTGAGGACAGCGGTATGAAGGACAGATCCCACTGCCCCCACAGAGGAGCACAACGGCCCACATCACCTGCACATGTGCCCTCTGCATAGGTGCCACTCACATCATGCTCTTGCACAAGAATTTCTGAGTGGCAGCTCTGAAACCAGCTTGCAGTCAGGGTTCTCAAGTAATATTAGCATAAGGCAAAGGACACATGTCAAGGGATGTGCTGGGTATGTCAGGCCCTATGATCGTCCCCCAGGAGCAGGAGGGCTGCAGAGTGGAGTGGTGGGCAGGAGAAGGTGCACTACACCTCTAAGGCCAAAGAAGGGAGTGGAGGCATGGTCCATGGATCTGGGAACAGGGGAGGAGGATCCATCATGGGCTGTGGAGAGAGAAACTCAGCCCTTAGAGAGCTGGGGGACTCGTCGGGGAAGCAGAGCCACTGGGGTGTTGGGGATGAGTTGTGCAGGTTTGCCTGAACATTTGGGGAAAAAAGCAGGAAGAATTAGAACTTGGCGCCCTACTGCTGTTACTCTTACACTCCAGAAACGCGCCTGTTTCCAACCAGGTCTCAGGACAGAGCTGGCAGTGTACCTGTGGGACAAAGATGAAACAATTGATTGTCGTTGTACACACAAAGATGCCTCCAGAGGTGAAACCAAACAGCAAGTTGTGCCAAGCATGGAAGAAACGGTGAACTAAGAAGACAGTCCCAGCAGCCAGGAAAATGAGGTTGACCCCAACGATGAGCGTCAAGGACTGGTTAACCGGTGGACAGCTGACGTTGTCGGTCAGACCAGCCAAGTACGTCCCGTACAGCAACAGGATACTCTGGAATCAGAAAATAGGGCCCGAGTTCAGAAAAGATTTCCAGAATGTGGAAAATTACAGCCCGACACAGTCAACCCCCACTTCACACTGAGCCGAGAGAGCTCAGATACATTCAGTACATTCCTAATTAATGCTCCTTGATCTATAATGCAGACTTTCAGCTTGCAATGGTAACTCCGCAGTAGATACCCAGCACGCTGCTGCAGGTTGGAAGCAGGATGCTTCGTCAGCAGAGGCCAGGGGAGAGGGCAGGACTGAAATTGCTGGGTCCCAGCTGAGGGGTACCAGCAGCTCTCAAGCGGGGAGCTGAGGATGAGATCGGCAGGCAGTGTCACCCAGCAGGGCACAGCCAGGACATGCCAGGAGCCCACAAAGAAAATATTCACTCCAGAGTGTTGGAACAGGAACACCAAAGACAGACAGACAGGAGACAGAAATCCCTTCAGGGAAGAAGGAAAGAAAAAAAAAAACACTCTGCCATCAAAGAGCAACAGCATAACTCTGATGGAGCAGAAAGGAGATAGATATACATTCAGAAGGAAAAAGAAAGACAGAAGAAGCAGAATTTTAGGCCAGAGGGAAGAGGATGTACTTGATGCCTCCTTAAACAAGAAATCCAGGAAACTACTGGCTACTATTCTTTTCACTGCTCTTTACAGTTTCCTGTCTGAATCTAGTGGTGGTGAAAGATGTTAAAAAATGCTCTGTGCACACACAGCCTCTCTCCTTAGAAGCAGGTAGGCTGTTTCAGGACGGACTTCCTTATCACACTGCCTCTCAAGTGTCTCCCTGGTACATATTTCCAATAAGCTAATCACCAGACTGCAGGTCAGTAAGGAGTTCCCTCCTTCGCCAGGTAGGAAACCAGTAGGAAATGCTGAGCGTTTTTTGCCCTCCTCTGTAGCATATGCTATGGTCTGTTTTCAGGATAATCCGGAAATACTGCCTAACAAATTCCCTGTTCATGCAAGGACTGAGAACACCGGGAACATGTCTCCCACATTGTTCCTGTGGCACATAATATAGGTAAATAATGGTAAATAGGTAAATAAAGATAAAAGACCTGTTGGCCTTTTACCAATAGATGTTAAAAGGCATCAAGAAATGCTTTGTGACCTGTGCAGCAGATGTTTTTTAGCCTGTTCTAGACCCCTCTATCCTGTGGCTGCAGGGCCCAAGACTTGGTGACCTTGATGCTCACTTCCAGGGTTATGTTCCTCATCCTGCACTCTTGTGGGCAAGAGAGATTCACGTCCATGGCCCTTGCACTCTCTGCTGAGACCCCCAACGTAAGAGTGCCAGGAGTCCCCAAGGAGAAATTGTGATAGTGAGACCTGCCTCGCTGGGAATAAGACTGAGACCCAAATCTGCTTTGTGGGATCAGCGCTGGATCATAACCACCTTCACCACAGGCCACCTCCAAATACACAGCCCAAAGGCAATCCAATTCCTAATCTCTGGGCAAGAATTAAAACAGCACCTAAGTCCCATCTAAAAGTCATACAGTTTGCCCAGGACACGGACAAAATCACTGCCATCTGCTAAACTAGGACTTTGAACCAGGAGAATAAGCACAGGACTAAACTTTTTTTTTTTTTTAATCTTGAGCAAAGGACTTTGCTCATAATTCAAGGTGCGACATTGGCAAGTAATTTCTGTTCATTGCTCTGTGCCTGTAAAACCAGGATAATATACTGAGCGTCTTCACGAAAGGCTGAGCACATTAATGCCTTGGAAGATAAGAAGTGCTACATACATGCATAGATAAACCTACTCACACATTAGCGTCAATCCAGATTAACTCCAGCGAAACCACTAAAGAAATACTGCTACGACACCCAGTAGATAGGATCAGAGTCAGGTTCAGTGCAACTCTATGAAGAGCATGTGTGACTGGGAATGTTTTATTCTGAACGAGAGGAATGGAAATAGTTCGTAGGAGTTGTAGGCACAAGCGTTACCCATCTAAAGCCTGAAGAAACTTAACATAAACTGGAGGCAAAGTCAGGGAAGGAGGTGGAGCACTGAAGCAGGCAGCCCAAGGAAGGCCTGCAATCCCTAGCACCAAAAGCCTTGTAAGAATGGGCTAGACGAACGTCTCCAAAAGGAACTGGAGCAGGAGAAGGACTTGACAGGGTCCTCACGTGCCTTCCTGCTCTTTTCCCTATGATTCTCGGTAGATGGTCAATGTATATTATATTATAGTGAGTCAGAAAGAAACTGCTTGTATTGTACACAGATTGAGTCATTCACAAAGAAGCTGTGATCTCACAAGGTTCATCAAAATCAGCCTTCTGAAACGCTTGCAACCTCTGCCAACCCAGAGACACATGAGACCACAGATAATTACTGCTATAATTATACCCACATAGTTATATCAGTATAACTAACTCTTCTGGAATAAGAATGGCCACATACAAAGTTACATCAGTGAAAGTGTATTTCAGTGGCATAATTAAGCTGATATACACCCTGTAAAGGTAGGCACCAAGCACTTATCATCTTTGCGGTCAGAAGACTCAGAGTCTGAGCTGCATAGTACGTCACTGCAGTAGGCGGTCATCTGAGCTTTTATGGAAGAAGCGAGCTTTAGCGAATATAAAGACACAAGCTTTAAGGTGGGGTATAGAGGAGCTGTGGGGGTTTACAGGGAGAGAACTAGAGAGACAGTATGTTCCACTTCACATAGAAGAGATGGTGAGGCAGGGAAAAAGAGGCTAATGGGATTTTATAGAGAATGCAGGGAAGCATCAAGATGGGAAGGAATGGAGATGGGAGGACTTTCAAGACAAGCAGGAGCAGCTGGTATCTGCAATATGCACATAGCCTGGGAGGGCCGTGAAACTGCAAATGCTGCTGAACAGTTAGACTGTGAGACTGGGAGGAGGTGAGATACAAAGCGAGAATCAATATAGAGGTTACGCACCTTAAACCCTAAAATGAGAATGAGCCAAAGATCAGAGTAAAGAGAGGCGCAGGACTGCATCCGGTTCACTGAACAGGTCATGCCCTTCTCTGTCACCTAGGAGGCAATGGGAACACGTAAGTGAAGGCCGCTACCCCTGTCCAGGAGCAGGGACAGATGGACGGGCAGACAGGTCTACAAATCAGAAGAGGTCTCCTCTGTAAATTCCAAAAAGGAAATGCCAAAACTGGTACTGCCAGAGGCAGAGAGTTAAAGGGAGAAAGATTTTGATATTCAGCTGCCAACACAGCTGATTAACATCTAGGTTTCCTAAAGCATCTGCACATGTCATGGATCTCTACTCTGCCACCCAGGTGACCAGCACAGCTTGGTCAAGGTCATCCACTAGACCCCATTGCTTGGCAAAGCAAAGCTCTGAATCTATCTTTTTTTCTTTCTTTCCTTCTCTCTCTCCCACCTCCAAGTGCCTGACCATGCACCCACCTTTACCACAGAGACCAGACAGGACACCCCGAGATGCTCCCCCACCTCTCCTTATCCCTTTACCCGCAGTGAGACGCTGAGGCTTCGGAAACACTGGACCGGATCAGAGAATATCCACGTCAAGAGCAACACTGTGTCTGCCAGCACCAGTGCTGCCACCATCGCCAGCAACTGGAGGTCTTTGATAATCTGCAAACGAGTAGAAAGCATTACAGTCAGGAGCAAATAGACACCAATAACCTCCTTCCCTCTGGGTCTCTTTCCAGTTGTTTCTTCCAAGGGACATGTTTACCCTAACACTTCCCCCAGAGTGGAGTCCTACAGGTCACCTATATCCAAGTGGGCCACAAGATCACTGTCTCTGGCCCCCAACCTCTTAGAGACCTAATCAGGCTTGGGGCCAGGAATAATCTCTCACTGACTGTGTGTCTAGCTGGTAAATGCCCTGACAGCAAACAGCATTTCCAAAACAAAAGCATTGTCCGTTTACCTACATTACAAGCAGAAAGATAAAGAGTGAAAATAAAAGCTTATAGGATTATTATATCGCAAGTTTTACACAGACCCCTGGTCCCTCAGGAATGGGAGTCCTTGCTTGTACCCTGTTCCTCTGCAAACCCCCGTTTCACCTTTCCTCTGACGCCCTCTCGTTTCACCACTGGAAAACGGCCCCTGTAAGCCATAAGCCTACTGTTATACGAATAAATGTGTACAGGTGGCCCCCATTTTCCTCTGAGCTGCCGTATCCCCTCTCTCTCTCCTGCAGGGGAGCATCCAAAGCTCCCTCCCTTCACCCAGAATATCAGGTGCATCTGGGGGTTGTCCCACATCAGAGACACTTGAAGATACCTGGTTTATCTTCATCCCACAAAAGCGAGCAGTCCAAACCTGGGCATAAACACTGGTGTGTTGTGTAACGGAGGCAAACTGGTATCCAGTTGTTTGCAGCCCTGTAACCTGCCTTCGCTGTTACTTGCCAGTCTCATCAGCTATTCCAAAATGGTTTAGGACTTTCTCAAGTTTGGCTCACTTTTGTAAAGTGTTTTCCTTTGCTTCTTGCTGCCTCCCATGCCCAGGTGCCTTGCAGAGGGAGGTTACCTGTACTGGGCTGCTCAGTGCCCAGGTGCCAGATACTCACCACCCGCTTGTCCGGTACCCGCTGGGTGAACACTTTGTAGAGCCGCCAGCTTTTGGCCAGGACAGGCCCAAACACCAGGGAGCTCCCGACGCACAGCAAGCAGAGCCGTACCTGCGAGCGGGAGGCAGAGGGATGGGGGTGAAGCAGCAGCAGCGACCAAGCACTTGTGCTTTTTCCGGCATGTGGCTGGCCAGGAGGCTCTGCCCAGGCAGGTCTGACATACCAGAGAGGGGATAAAGAGACCTGGTGGGGATGGAGCTATGGTGCTCTGCCTTCTGGAGGGCCATGTCAGGTATTAGAAAGTTGACTACAGGGCAAAATAAATTAAAATACGCTTATCCCTCTGCAGCCGACCCACATGGCCAGCAACAGGATATCCAGGGTGCAGAGCAGAGGTGGCAGGAGCAAATAGGCAGGCAGGAGGAAGCTGCTTGGCAGAAATCCCTGCCTTTTTCTCTCTGCCTTGAAAGGCTCTTGTCAGAGGAGCAGTGAGAGCCAGGCAGCTTGAGAGCGACAGATGCAGAGAGGGTCGAAGCGCCAATAAATCACTAGCTGGCATCTCTGTTAATTATCTCCACCCAGGTGGCTGAGCAGGACCTCCCTGCCTCTCAGCCTCTCCACACCCCATCCCATTTCCCTCGCCGGGTCAGTGCCGAGGCCCTGGTCTGGAAGGGAGATGTCCCAGGTCAGGAGTCGAGGATCCATCAGCATTTCTGCAAGATTGGCTCTGCATCCAAGAAGCTCTCCTGCTCGCCTCCGTATTGTACTTTTAAAAGCCAAGCGGTCTGTCTGGCTGTCTGGGGGGCAGCTGCTGCGGGCACTGCTCCCTCCCCTGGAGACCTGGCCTGCGTTCCTCCTTGCACTGCTGGCTTTTCATAATCAAATAGAGAAGGCTGTACAGACATAAAGCATCTGGCTGCATTTTGTGTATGTGGAAACAACGCAGCCGAACGTGCCCACAAGCAGGATGGAGACAGGCCATAGGTAAGGAAGAGCATGGACAAGCATGTGTTCATGTGGACACCCATCCCAGCAAAACCCTCACCCACCTGAATAAGCATTTCCACCGACTCTCCGGATAGCAGGCTCTGCTCCTGAATCCCAAAGAGGTAAGCGCTAGAGTAAGTCAAGCCACTGCCCAGCAAGGTCACAATGTTCAGATTGGGGCTGGACATCTTCACGATCCTCCAGGAAACAAAGCAAGGAAGGTGGTAACAGTTACTGAGCACCATGACCTGGCAGCAAAGGGACAAGCTGGCTCCCCTTACACGGATGATGATGGCCATAAGGGTCGTTTCCCTGACTCACTGTCCTGTCCCCTCGCCAGCCCCTGCTGCTCACAGCTCCCCGCAAAGCTCAGCCATTGCTCCATGGTGCATACCTCATCTCCTCCCCAGTACTGCTGGAGCGCTTCGCTGTCTTTAAAGTATTCATTTTACCCTGTCCCAACACTCCTATGAGATAGCAAGACTCCTTCCCCCCAAAATGGATGGGTAACGGACTTGTCCCATGGCACCTCTACCCCCTGCATGTGCCTGTGGCACAGAAAAGCATACCCGCAGCAGCTTCAGCCAGCTTCGTTGTGGACAAAACGATGGCAAACAACGGCCTTCAGCTACCAACTACACAAGGTCACAGGAGGGTCTGTGCTGCCCCAGCTCCTCTGCTACCTGTGCTCATGCCAGGAAAAATAAAGCTGCGCCAGCTGTGCCACCTCCCAGTGTCCCTGCTGTAGCGCAGAGCCAGCCGATGCGATGCCCCACCATCGTGCAAGAAGCCCGTGGCACAGCATGCAGCTCAACTTCCCAGGTTCAAGGCTAGCATCTCCCCGCACCGCCCTCTGCCGCAAAGCAGCGGAAATCAGAGGTGATTTCCTGCTAATGCAGCCCCGGGTGACTGTCCCCAGCAGGAAGATTTCCAGTGCTTTGGGTACAGCAGTTTCCAGTGCCTCCAGGAACAGGTCCTTGCCCCTTCTTCTTCCTTCGAGGAGATTCTTCCACATTCAGTATAGTCTCAAACACAGGAAGTTGTCAGCACTATTCAGGCTACAGCTTTCCTTCTTTAACTTCATGCCATTACTCATGATCTTGTAACTGCATTCAGGGAGAGGAGAGCCAAACCACTGATCTCCACAGACCTGTCGCCCTTCCCCAACATTCCCATCAAGCAAAAGCCTTAGCTGCTGTCTTCCCTCTGTGTAGATCCATCCCTTCAATCCGCTGCTAGTAATTTCATTTCTCTACCCTTGAGCTTCTTCCTGATTCTTGCTACCTCTGAAGCAACACAGAGCCTAGGATTCAATCCAGCTCCCTCCCGCCCTGCCTTCCTCCTCATGCCTCACTCCCTGGTGAAAGACGTTAATCAGATCACGCTCTCAGCTGCATACTGACAAAGGTCGTCTTTGCGCTCCCAGGTTCAGTAGGCAGACCAGCGTTTGTTTGCTGCAGTGCAAATAAATAACACACATTCATTACAGTTTCACTCTGAGAACCTCTTTGGGGGCCTAAACAATTTTGCAATCAATTAAGATGGCCACAGAGCTTGACACCACTCTGCTTCGATAAATTAAATGCTTGCGTCCTGGAGACAGACTGCACAGCTACTGCACCATACTAGGCATAGGGCTCAAGATAAAAACATTATGAACAGGACTTTTCTGAGTTTAATATAGTTATAAGGAGCATTAAGTTCCTTAACAGAACCCGATCACTGAAACAACATGTCTCTGTACAAAACAAGGTGCACAGAGCGCAAAGGCTTTACCGGGTAAAGCTTGGGAGAGGCATGCATTTATGGGGGTGGGGAGAAAGAAGACAGGAGGCCAAAGAAACTGCGGAGAAAGCAGCGAGGAGGCAGCCAACACACCCAGAATTGCTGGGGAAGACTAGGAAAGTAAGCTTTCAGGCCAAGTGCTGGCTGAGAGAGTGTTTGAGCTACGAGGACTTACTGGGCTGTTTGATTTATGTGACATTCAGGGGACCAGGACTTTTTACATCCTTTGTATGGCCTGAATGACACCATGGAAAGCCTTCATTTCACCGTTAGGTACTCTTAGCAATGGAGACCATGCTCCCCACCGATCTGGATAACCACTGAGATCCAAAAAGATTAGCAATATTTGCAAACTATGAGTGGCCCAACACCAGGAAGGAAACCTGAATGTTGTTGAGAGCATGATGGCTTTGCTCATGTAGCTGTGTTGCTCAAAGTGATGCTCTCAGACTGTGGGGTAGAGGCAGACCAGCTCTCTTTTTGCTCACTCCTGCTGATGGTTTGTTCAGTACCACCTTTGAGAAGAGACCACGCACTGCTGCACCAGCCATGAGGGGCCAGGGGACGGCAGCCCCTTCATTCATATCACCCTTCCCACAGCCGCAGCCTATGCCATGCTGGAGGACGTCCATGCTCTGTCTTGTCCACAGCTTCTTGACTCAGGGAGGATGACTCACAGTCCAAGCAGGATTGTCTCCAGCAGAGGTCAACACAGGATATGATGGAGAAAGCCACAACATTCCCAGGATTGCCCTTCCTTGCCCAGCACTGTTCCTTCAGGGTTGTATCTTCCTAACCTTCGGTGACCATCAGCTCATAGCCTGGGACTGTGGGAACCTGACCACAGTGCCTCAGCTTGTGAGAAGTTTCACAACGGAAGAGGGAAGCTCTTACCTGTTCTTCCTGAAGCGAATTGTGAAGACAAGAAAGAAGAGGGCTAGCAGGACTCCTCCCGTCAGGAATGTCCACACAACTCCCCAGAGAGCAGCAGAGAAGGATGGGGAGCTCTTTCCACTGTGGTCAGAAGATGTCTGAGGAAAGGCAAAAGGGATGAGGAGGAATGGGGCATCCCTGGGGCCCCCAGCAAAGAAGGTCTCCTCACTGACATGATCTCTTGCATGAATACTCCTGCTCAACTGGAAGCGACTTGAAACCACATCTCCCAAACCCCTCTTCACAAGAAGATGTCCCTACACTAGACCAAGACACGCTGGCAGGGCTAATGAGATGTGCACAGGCAGGACACGTACTCTGCTGCTATACCCAACCACTTGCTGAGCACACAGGAAGAGAGGGCAGTTCCACCACGTTCAAAACACACTTCCCTTTGGAACAGCTCTGGGAGCCCTCCCTTCTTACAGCTGAGTGTCCAAACCCATCATGAAGCCGTGCACGTAACTCATAAACCTCAGGCAGCCCTGGCCACGAGAGATGGGAAACTGGGAGACTGTTCCTGACTGTCACTGGGAGGAAGCCAATGAATCTCAGGAAAGAACCCTCTGGAGAAAGACCCTGCAGGACTCCAATTTCTAGCATGCCTCTTTGGAAAGAAAGGCAGGGTGTCCTCTGCTAGCCACTCCCACTAGAAATAGAAATCTGTGCCTAGGAGGAATCATCCTTTACCCTAACCTCCCAGCAGATAACCAGCTGGTTGATTTTGCCACGAATCAGCAATAGAGCTGTCAGCTGGTGCAGAAAACACGGAGAGGGAACTGCAACAATATTTTTCAAATGTGTTACGTAGCAAGACACAGAGCTGGGCTCCACCTGCGCCCCAGCCCTTCAGAAACTAACCTGGTCCTAGCTGGATGATAGCTGAAAACTGGCTTTGAGGGACACCCCCAAAGGGGGCATGAAGACAGCCTCTCCCTAAAGGAAGGGAGCCCCACTCCAACCCCATAAACCCATGTAGGATTGCCGGGACTCCATGCTCCCTACCCCAGCGCCTTACCAGGCCATGCAGGTGGCAGAGGGGGGTGACCTCACGTCAGGAGGAAAGGCTGGGAATCGAGAGCTGGCATGAGGACCCATGGGGCATGGGTTGCCTTGAGGCACTTTGCAAGACAGGCCTGTTACCAAATGCTGTCCTATGAAAAGCCATTCCAAAATGTTCCTTCTCCTCCCTACCACCGGACAGCTGACACTGCTGATGGCCATACCAGGGAGAGGGTGGGAACAAATGGACTTTCTTTACTGGGGCTTTGTGTTCCCTTTCTATTTCAGACGGAGATGCTTACTTCAAATTTGTTCCTCTTTCCGGTTCTCCTGGTTACTGCACACAAGAGATCTTATCATTTTGAATCACCATTTAACAATTCTCACTGCTCTCCCTCTATTAAAAAGGGGAAGGATTAAATGAACCTACTTGAAACAAGAAACTTACTTCCACTGTGGATCTAAAATACTCCAGCAATTTTAATGAGACATGGACGTGTGGGTTTGTCCACACATACTATGGGAGCATGTTACTTACAGATGTTCTATTTAAATGTCAGTGCATCCCTTTCAAAGGGAAGAATGACAGCACAGGGCGGGGATCACACACCAACTCACTAAATTCTGTCATGCTGCCCCCATGCCAGCTCTTGAAAAGCTATGCGACTGTGCACAGACTGAACATCTCACACCAAGGAATAACATGGGAGGCAAAGAGCCCCTCTCATCTTCCAGAGCTCAGAGTGACCTGGTCCATAGGCAGGCACAGCAATCTTATTTATCAGAGTGGGTGCCATCAAGAGACAAACACAGAGCGCTGGGATATCCTATGCGGGGATCTACCCTTTGAAAAACATCCTTGGAGGTGTTATCTAAATCCTTTCTCAAGTATTCAGGATCATGTGCACTCAATTTATATAGCAGAAGCTTATTTTTCTAACAGCTACCACTGCCACATGCCCTCAGTTCTTCCTTCCACATCTTTTTCTACTTCTTCCAGCATCACTAGAAATAAATCTGCAAGGGGAAGTAAGGCAGTGGTTCCAGAGGGAGGCGAGGTGTCAGCCCCCTCTCCCACAGCTGGATCCATCTCATGGACTACCAAGAATAAAGCATAGCTTGGATCAATAAAGTCAGCATGTAATTGTTAAAACAAAAATGTGCAAAGTGCAGTTCTGGGAACTGAGAAGGAACCACCTTCGCAGTCACTTCAGGGATGTTGCTGTAATTTGGCCCCACTGCCTGACTCCAGCAGAAGCACTCATGATGCAGCTCAGAAAGTTCAAAGCTGCTCCATGTCACCACCACGCAGGCATGGCCAGTCTGTGGGCCCTGGGCTCCAGACAGCTCGCAAGGCATTGGAGTGCAGCTCATGTGCTGGTGACACAGTGGTACCCACGGCTGCTCTGGTATCACGGCTCCCTGGGCCAAGGACTGCTGAGCAAGAAAGATAAGCCAAGAGCAGATGCTGACACTGCTGCATTATTCTGGGATACAGCTACACACACAGCTCAGCCCCACCTCGCAGCAGAGTGGTGGGATCCCTGGGGAGATATTCATCTTCCACCTCCAAACTGCTCCCCGCCTCCTCTCCACCTGTGTGCTCTAAGCTGGGTAGAACAGGGCTTTTGGTTCTCTGGGAGATGAAAACCCCAGCAGACAGCACAGACAGTGAGGCAAGTTGGCCCCACTCACCTTATTCCTGGACTCACTGTGCAAAAAACCCATCATTCTGCATAAATCATGGCCATCTTCTCATTCACTAGGAGCTCAGAGGGGCTGATATGGCTGCTCAGGGTCAGTAAGAGGCTGTAACGCCATCCAGTTTCTCCATCCTGCCTGGTCTAGTCCAAGGGTAATACTTGCCTGTTATCAGTGAGGCGAGGATGGCAGACTCCTATTCAAGGCACACCTCATTCCAAGGTGCATTCACAGCACTATCTTTCTACCTCTGGCTGCTGCCTAGCGCATTACTGCAAGTTCTTCTAAGGAGTCACCCAGGGAACAGAAATTCACCTGTGGTTCCACCTTTCCTTTCCAAACGCACACATACACAAACACAAAATGATTACTGTTTCCCTGGATGTCAGTGGTCCCTGATTACTTGAAGTTGATGGAGCACTTCATTTGCAGCTGAGCAGAGCATAAATCCTGGCCCTAGCAGGGGGAATATTAATTGTAACAAAGCTGCCAGAGCCAGAGGAGCCAAGCAGCTTATGTTCCTCTAATTAAAGGTTTACGCAGGATTCAGCAGAAAGCCAAGCAATCCAAGCCTAGCTAGTTCATCCAGCAGGCTCATGCAGCGTCAACTGCAAAGAAGTGCATCCCTGTGTCATTGCTACTGGCGTAGTGGTGGGGGGAGGTACCATTTATTATAGATGCTGACTTTTAATTAAATCCTTCTCTATTAATATGTGAAAAGGGTTTTGAGTTCCAGGGAACACAAAAGGTCAAGGGCACAGAAGGGCACCCCAGGTCCGTTCCTAGATGGCTTTCATGCTTGCTCACATGGGTGGACTCCTTGACACAACTTAGCTGTTCTGCTGCAGCTGGTTCCTCACCTTCTGGTTAACTGCTAGAGTGTTATCTAGGCAAATGCTTTTCTCAGGATGCCAACCCCGGAGGCAAGGGCTAGAAGGGAGTGCTTTGCTGTTACGTCCCTGTTTCCCCCTCTCCATCCCTCCATGCAAACTCATTCCTGTGGAGCAAACTCATTTCCCAGAGCTCCCCCATCTCTGTACATACGACTGTTATAGTGCAGAGCTCCTGCAGGGTCCTTTGCTGCTGCTCCTGGCTGCCAAAGCTGGAGTTGCCATCGCATAGGTCAGAGCAGTTTAATCTCGGCTCCATAGCACATCCTCAGCCTTCCTTCAGCCGTATCCTCTCAGCAGGCAGCAGGACGAGGGTCAGGCGATGGAGCATTGGCCAGCTGCGTGGGTTGCCCCACAGCACCGCCGGGGGCCGGCATGAGCCCAGCTACGCTGTCATGCCCCAGCAGGCAGCGGGGGGGTCCCAGCCTGCAAACCAATGCACAGGGGGTCAGGGTGGGCCTGGTGGCCCCCGCAGGGAGGAGGGCAGCAGCCTCTGCGCACCAGCTTTGCAGAGTCGGACACCCTGCCAGTCTGAGCTGAGGTTCGCACAGCCAGGGAGTTGTCCAGGCAGCACACCCCGAGGAGGTCTCAGCCCAAAAGCGGGGTCCACCACCCTTGCAGAGCTGACCCGCACGACTGGGATGTACAGGCTGGGAAGGCGCGCTGGCCCCGGCTCGTGTCTCTACTCCTCCCGCAGAGGAAACCCGCAGGAAGGAGTCACTCACATGCCCACATATGCACCCTGCAGCCCCACAAGCTGCTGCAATTGTCCTCTGCTAGCGAGTTATCCCACAGCAGTGCAACTTCAGGGCATATCTTTGCAGCTTCCCCATCACCACCCCATGCTGGCAGCTGATGATGATTTCCTGGTGGGTTCATTTCTTCCCAGCAAATAACAAGTAAGTAAAGGAAGACAATAAACAGCCACAAGTGTTGCCCTCACTTAATGTAGCCTAAACCTAGGCCTGGGTGAACAGGGAGGGGACGTGCTTGAATTAAACATACACTGAAGTGTTTTGGCTCATTTGGTCTGAGCAGCAGCCTAGCTAGCTCAGGAGCAGCCTGTTTATTAAGCGGATTTAAAAGCCCGACATTTCTGGGTTTCCCATCTCTCCTAGCGCTCTGGCTGCCAGGTATTGTGCCTGTCTGCGACAGCTCCTCTTACACCACCTTTGCCTCTGTTCCCGCTTTCATTTCTTTTTTTTGGTGGGGGTTTTAATAGGCCTCATTACCATTTTAGACATGAGGTCATACTTATCCTCAAGCATCCTTACTCAGTTACCATTGTCACCAGTTTTAATTAGCTTCCAATACACGACTGTAAGCAAGTCTGCCATGGTTAGCAGCTGGAAAGGCCGTGCGATAGATCCCTCCATATTTGCTCATGACAACAGCTGGGACGGAAATATTATTCAGACCTTGCTCCGAGGCGTTGCTCCCCAGCTGAGTAACTCTTGCGCTGAGACTCTGCACCCACCACCAGGTACTGCACCAAACCAGTGACCCTTCATCCCGTGACGCTCCCTCCTTCCCTACTGCTGCTTTACCTGACAAAAAAACTGGTTCCCTCTGCTCAAAAGCAACATACAAGCCAGAAATCCTTTCTTAAAAAAAACTCCTGTCATTATGCAAGCAAAGAAGGACTAAACTAAAATCAAGCGCAGGCCTCAGGGCCTATAACTTGGTGTTCTTGACATGGGATAATCAAGATCCAGTCACCAGAAAAGCCACAGACTTGATTCTCAGCTCACATAAACTGATTTTCAGCTTTAGAGACCTCAGTCTGAAGTTGCTTACAAGCCCCAACCCAGGATCATCAGGGTCAGTGAGCCAGTCATCCAAAATTAGAAAAGTCACCTTCTGAAGTCAAAAACACTACTCCTTGCTGGCAGACCCACAGAGGTACTGTCGTGCTAGATGCCTTCCTGCCTGAACCAGGACTATTGCCAGCACTAGATCAGGTCAGCCACAGCTATGTCCTACAAATGCAGTATCATACACTAGTTAGACTCATGCTCAGATTTTGCACACGTGACACAGACTTTTTTTCCAAGAGTGCTGATGGAAGCCAGCGCCGTCAAGCCTCCATCTCTCTGTAGCAAGCCATGGCAGTATTTGCTCCACAGCAGGAGCCCCCTTTGGAGGTTTCTACATCATTCACTGCACAGGTGAAACGTCAGATCACAGGTACCCCTGTAGGAGAAATCCAGCTGCTGTGGGGGATGCCAGATATTGCAACGACAGTATCAGGACAAAGAAGAGCAGTGGCGAGAAGGAGACATGCTCAAGGTGAACAATTTAGAGATAATGGCAATAAATGAGGTCGTGTGCACATGGATTTCTCCCTGCCTCCGGGGACAGGGATGGGAGAGGGTCGCTGAAGCTTTGCTGCCAAGAGGACAGGCAACCCAACGGCAGCCAAGTGCTGCCATTCACCCTCCTCCAGCAGCCTCCCCAGTCCCCATCTGGTCCCCCCGCCCCCCACCATCCTTAAAGGTCTGTGCCGGGATGCCAAAAAGCTCCTCTTCCATTCCTGAGAGGCAAACACCTTTCTTCAGTAAGACAGCTCATAGGGGCTGCGGTCAGAAGGGACCACAGGGCATCTGCACCGAGCACCAGCACCTCCCTAGCGCAGCCTGGCTGCAATGGGAGGCCAGCTCCGCGGGTCCGAAAGGCCCAGAGAGGAGGCCAGCAGGCTCTCAGCAACCCCCAAAGGTCTCAGCCTGCCGGTCACGCACAGCTAAAGTCAGCCAGGTGTCAGGTGCTGTCAGCCCACAAAGCATGGCAGTCCCCGCAGGAAGGCCACTGCGCTGCTCCAGCACCAGGGGCCAGGTGGGTCGCTACCAACAGCAACCTAAGGTCAGTGAGCAAAACCTCCCACCGCTCACAAAAGGACACTTCTACAGGGCCAGAGGCTGGGAGCATCAGTGCGGCTATCTGCCTTGCGGCACTTACAGGTAAAAGCAGGAAGGTCCGAGCGACGGGGAGGGCGCTGCTTCGAGAGCGACTTTGCGAGTCCTGAAGGAACGGCACGAAGCAGCGAGCTCGGCCGGGGAAGCGGAGCTGCATCCAGCTCCCCAGGAGCTGCCCTTTGGCGGGGGTGGGAACGCTCGGGAGCTTCCACGGTCGCCGTCCGCTCAGAAGCACTTCCATGCTATTATGCAAATGGCTCCCGCGCAATTTCGATAAAAGCCGGTCACCCAGGACAATTAGCACTCATTAGTATGCAATAAAGCAAGCGCGAACATGAATATTGCCAAAAGGCAACCAACGTTTCCATTCCAGCTCCTTTCCTCTAATTAGAGCCGGCAAAAATCGTGCAGCTCTCTTCCCCGTACTAGGGCACGGGAATGCAGAGCATCAGCCCAACTTCAGCAAACAGCCTGGCGAAGCCTGGACCGTGGTTTCTTTAACGTCTCAAAGACATTAGATCCAGACACTAGTGCCCTGATAGGGCACCTCTCCCCTCCTACCAGTGCAACCCCCGCAGCGCCCGACACCTTGCTCAGCGGCAGCGACGAGCGCGGGCCATGCCAGCATCGGGAACCCTTTCCTTCCCAGCTCTTCACTGACCTTGGGCTGGGGCTGCGCGCATGCTTGGACGGGAAAGCCCAGCGGGGCTGGGAAGCAGTGGCGGTGGTGAAGCACCATGAGTCAAGGTGGATGGAGCAAGTGCCAACACATCAGCAGGCGAACAGCCCCGGCACCCACGAGGGTGCGCTGGCAGATCGCTCTCACTCACGTCTCGGGGCAACATGTTGCCCCCCGCTCCCCCAAAGGACACCTCTGCAGCGCAACGGAGCAAACAGAGTAGATGGCAGCAACCCGCACAAGAAAACAAGTCCTTAAAGTTTAGAGAATCTCTTGAGGGCAGAGACTTGGTTTTTAAAGGACAAAAAAACAAAAAACAAACAAACAAAAAAACCCCAAAACCCACAAAGCCAGTGGGTTGTTTCAGGAGAAGTTAATGCTCATTTTCTGTGCTTGCTGCGCTGAAAACACCAGGCTTCCATTTAAGTAATTTCAGAAGAAAATTCACCTCTAGAAAGTGAAAGGCTGAGGACATAAACGCCTTGCTGTGTTCATGTTCACCTTGAATATTGGAAGAAATGAGGGACACCAGGGCCAGTTAGAGTGAATGGTGCAGGTTGTAAATGGAGTTGGCTATCGTTTGATTTTAAACAAAGGAAGAAATGAAATTAGAGAACATTAGCAGAGAGCGCTTTCCAACAGCCCACACACCTCACGGAAGTGGTCACAGCGTCTGGCAAAGTAAGGACCACGTTCAGCTAACTGGCTCTGCTTGCCTTGCATCTCCCTCCTGCCTTGCTGCCCTTGGTCTTTGCAGTATTTAATTTGTGAGGCTGCTGGGTTGTAATCACTAGCATTTAGCCATGGCTAAGCATCAGTGGATGCATGGACATGATCCAACAAGCCTGAAGTTGATAGAAAACAAGTGACTGGACAACATAAAAAAAAACCACTACCACCTTCTAATATAAAAAGGAAACATTGTTTGTTAAAAACAATCATTGGATAAAGGAATTTGCATTCATCCCAATGGATGATCTTCAGCTTTGGAAAATCAGTTTGTTTAGGTCACCCAACACCCAAGATTTTTTACCTACTAATGCAGAGAAACTGTACCTTAAGGCATATCCCTTTTCCTGCAAAATATCCTGCAAAAAAGATATATTTGATCATGTCTAAATACACATCTTGACCTTCTTTAAGTTTCTTCTTGCCTTCAGACCCTTTTCCAAAAAGCTGCTACATGGGGTGGAGGGAAGTAAAGGAGCTGAATATTTGATTCAAAATCCATGAGCCAAAGGCAGGAAGACTGAGTATTTCACCCCAAGTCACTCTTTTTGCACCAGCACTGAAAGAGACTTCTCTGAGAACAAGGCACTGTTGCAGTTTGGTGAATCAAAAGGTGAAAACCTGAAGAAGTCAAACGGCAGAAAATAGAACAATTAAATTCAGAAACGTGCTGATTTCTAAAAGCTCTGCAATCCTGCCCAGTCATATCAGCCCCAATAAAGAAAGCTTTTTAGCACTTACAGTTTGACCGAGGTGCAGCTTTGCAACAGGAAGGCTGCTGAAAAGCGTTACCTGTTGGGAAGAACCACTCGTGTCTCCGGGAGCTGCCAAAGCACAGCACGCCCAGATAAGCAGTCGCACAGTTACTGTTTTCTTCTTCTGGGCTTCTTTGCGGCATGGCTCAGCTGGCAGTAGGGGCTCAATCCCACCTGCAGGACACTGCCACCCAGCCTGCCTTGCCTTTTTCCTGGCGGAGGTGGAGAAGGGCTGCTCAAGCAGCAAACCTCTGCATAGCCAGCTGAGACCTGTGGCTTTTGCTGCATGCCAGAAAGAGAAGAGGGAGGCAGGGAAAGAGGAGGCAAGCTCATGTTCATGCTACCACCACCTCTCTTAAGGAATGGAGCAGGAAGACCTCAGATCATCCATGGCCTGACCCATGGGTGACGGAGGACTGGCAGTCAGCACCAGCCCTCGTGGCTGCCAGGACTAGCCCCACCTAGACAGGCTGCCGAGCCTCAGCCTTAAAACAGCACGGAGCCTGAGTAACTGTTCCAGCGAGATAAATGATAGGAGATGGAGTTTTGCAATGCAGAAAACACTGGTGTTTCTCAGAAAGGTTTGTGCTTTTCGCTTCTGCTATTCTTGTCCAACAGGATCCCTTCCCGTTTGACCTGAGAAACCTGCAGTATTGCCAACCCCAAGGCAATCAAAAAAATCACGAGCTAGACTTACTACAACAACCCCCCAACAGAGCTATTTAAAAATCGTGAGTTAAAACACACAGGGTATCTGAAGCTTATTTTTAATTTATATTTAAAACTTCATCGTCCAAGTTTTCACGTTTTTCTCTGCCAACGCTTAGAGAAAACGAAAACCAAGATGCTCAGGTCATCACGTAATCCTAAGAGCTGGGCTAGCAGGCCTCGCTCCCTGGGAACGGCACGAAGCTGCAAAGCTGTCACCCAACTTCTCGGGGCCTGCGCTGCGTTCTCGCTCTGTCTGCTCCCGCTCCTGGGACGTCCAGGGCCACCTCCAGGCCTCCCAGATATCTGTGTCTCTGGCAGACGGGCAGCCAGCTCACTGCACAGTCAGGCGACAGCTCGTGTCACAGGGCCCAAATTATGTCATCCTCCCGCCCAGACACAGGACGGTCGGTGGTCAGCGTCCCAAGCTCCCCCCGCTCTGAGACGCACTCCCAGGCTGGGGCAGGGGTGAAAACCACCCAGAAGCTGCAGTAGCCGCCTGCACTGCAAAGGCAGGAGACACAGGCCAAGCTGCTGCCATCTCCCCATCCCCCGGGAGCTGATGGTGTGACTCAGAAAGCTGAAACTTTGTGTTTACTGAAGCTAGTTTCAGTTTTGAAGCGTCCTACCCGTTTTTGATAATATCTCCCAACAATACGAAGGCAATCAAGCTGATCTTACTGTTTACTCCAGCGTTGCGTGTGTGTCCGTTGTCCTTGCCTCAGCTTGGGAACACGGCACCGGGCTGGTGCGTTTAACTCCGGGTCTAGTCTTTCTCTTGCCCTGCCTTTCCCATGGACCCATTATCACGCTGCTACTGCAAAGCGGCCATGCTTTCACCCACATCCACATTCCGGATATGAAAGCACTATTGAGAGTTTACGACGTATACAACTTTTTAAATGCAGGTCAACTACTAGCCCAGCTCCTTTCAGTTCTGTGGCTTATATCGTGAAATTAAAGAAGCCTCTATGCAAAAAGACTCATGACTTTTTTGAACCACCACATGGTCCTGCAAGGAGCCAACTCATGATTCTCCCACTTGGAAGCTGATAGTGCTTTTAGCTCTCTAACCTTAATTGCTGTACAATGACAGGCACGTGAGAAAGAAAGAGAGATAGACCTTTAGATTGGAAATGCTCAAAGGCAGGAAAATCAGGAGGGACTACTGAGAGCCCAGGGAGAGGTTGCTGACGAGGTGAACGACAGGACCAGCATTTGTATGGAGGGGAGCTGAAGCCCTGGAGCTCCTGCTAAGCAACTCTGTGCCCCCAAAGACCCCAGCCCTCCCACGCGTCCTGCTGTAGGAGCAGCCGAACAGCACGTGTAATTCCAGCACGTGGCCCAAACGAGCACAAACCTGCATATTTCCGCCTCCCCAAAGCAACAGGGAGCCCAAGGATTTGGGCTCTCCCTGCCCATCCCGCTGAGCTAATCCCCAGCTTGCACCGCTAGGCTTGGCCCAGCGCCCCATGCTCGCCCTTGGGGTCACGCACGCACGGCACAGCCACAAAGGAAAACAGCCAGACGCGCCATGGCAAACTCCTTCCCGCTAAATTTAAATGGCATTTTTGCTGTCCCCAGGTGGCAGCTCGTCTCTCTGCTCGTGAAGGAAAGAGGGGGTAGGGTCCCCACTTCAGTGCAGCAGCCCCCCTGCCGAAGGCTCAGGCAGGGGGCAGACGACGGGAGAGCTGCATGTCAGTGGCTGCCCCTCCAAGAAGACACGGCTGTTTCCCAGCTGAACTGGGAAGGGACAGAAACGATGCCCGCGACACCTACCTCGGAGCGGGGGGCCGCGGCCCACACATGAGAGGGCACCGCGTCCGGCAAAGAGCAGGAAGGCTCCCCCTCACCGCCACGTCCATGAGGCACCAGCTCTGGAGAGGGAAAACAAAACCCACAGAGACATTGCAGGGGAGGCAACAGGGGGGAAGGCACCTCTTACAGCTGGAAATGCCGCTGGAAGCCTCCGCTCAGAAACTTTGGAAATAAAGTTGAGAAACCTGGGAGTCTTGCAAAAATCCCCAAGCACCTGCCTCACGTTTTGCATCCTGAGCAGCCACGGCGAGGCCGACAGCGAGCCCCTCCGACAGGTCCCTCCGGAAGGAGCCGTCTGTGGGGACCGTCCCTCCCGCCACCGCCTCTCCTCCGTCCGGCAGAGCGGACGGCCCTGCTCCTGTCCCCCTGCCCCTCTCCGCACACCAAGACACCAGCGCAGTGCCGGGC